CACCAGATTTCCAAATTTCATTTTCTAAAATTTGGAAAAAGAAATAGCGTCATGTGAAAGTACAGGAAGAGAGGTTTCATTTGAATGGTCACATCATAGGATTTGGTCCACAAACTCAAAAGTTAGAGACACCTTACAAAACTCCATCAAGTACTCTGGCAGTGAAAGGGTTAATAAAGAAGGGACAACTGCAGTTCAAAATCTGATGATCATAAACAAATATTGGCGATCACGTTTTTGGCTGAGCTTCTTATTACCAAAATCACGTTTATTTTCTTGGGATCTTTTCAGTAGGCACGCCAATATTTTCATATCATTGATAGAGATAAGTGTCTGAATTGCATGCATGGGAAAAATTGATATTTGCTTTCTGCTGTTTTTCAAGAGAAGGTAAAATTCCTCAGCTTTATAATGTGTGCCCACATTCATACAGGTAAAAAGATACCCTTATGTGTTCCGTAATTTGATTGGATAAATAGCATGATATCCCTGAATTAGCCGATTCCTCCGTAGGGACTGCTTAAATATGCTACATGGATTTGTCCATCTCTCTACCGCCAAAAAATTGAGTTCTGCGTAAGCTGATATCATTGTTCCTTTAACAAATTTACTTTTAATATAATAGGGTTCTCATACTTTCTAATTAAGTTAGACAGTTTGTCTCAGTTTGCACCCCGCAAGTTTTTAAGAAAACAAGTGTAATGCTGAAAGCTGCTAGCCGTCACTAGTCTTGGACAGTTTAATGACTGTCCAAAAAAGCTCCGAAATTTTGTTTTTGGAGAGCTGCACTGAAATGAAATCAGTGAGCAGCCTAATTGCTTTTTGCATGACCATGAGTCGGCGGTGAATTATTCTGTTACTTTTGAGAAGGTTAAGTTCGGTCCTCTTTGTTGACACCGCCTTCCTCTTATTTATCGATAATTAATTAGATAACTAAAAGAAGTCGCTTTTGCTTCTTGAACGCTCTTCAGAAAGCTCGGAAGCTTTTGAAACCCAAGGGTTTAGTGAATCTATTTGTAACTTCCTGATATTTGCTTTTAGTAAAGTTGAAGTAGTGTAAGCGAGCACACCTGCAAACCCTGGCACGTTATCTTTATTACGGTCATGTTGCGTTTTAAAATCTTTACAGCATCTCCAGTGCTAACAAAAAGATCGGAACTTCAGAGTTTCTTTTAGCTCGTGAAATCCAGCTACTGTGAGTTTCACTCCATTGACTGTTATACCTGTATTCTAAGTCATGTTTTTCAGCCTCGCTTCATGATATTTGGCGCTAAAAAATGCCGAGCTCTCTTATCACCTTTTTACCGCGATATTGTCGACATCCACGTACCTTATATTTGCTCACAGATGAGTAGCCGTTTTTCTGGCAGAGTTTTACTTATTTACATTTGTAAAATGGGTGTTGGTCAAAATCACTAATAAGGTTCTTTTAAGCGTGACAGTTTCTCAGTGTTACATGGTGGTTGACAATAAATGCTGAGAAATCGGATTTTCACTGGTAGTTCAGTGACGTCACAGGCTTAGCTTTTGAATTTTGTTCACCACGTTTTATTGCGCTGCACGTCTTGCATCTCACGGTTTTATAAGTTGATAAACAACGAGTTATCAAACATGCCTTTACCTATACAGTCAAAACATTCGTTGTGGCGGCAGAAGTGTTTAAGTGTATACCGACTTATCAGATTACAAATATTGGTGGATAACACGATCGAAAGCCAATTTTGTGGTCAAGATTAACTAACTCAGCCCCCATGGATTAGAGCTAGGGAATATCTCAGGCGGAACACGTTTCATATGTTGGACTTGTTTTCAAGCGCGCGTATCAGTGTCTGCGTTGTTTTTAGTTTTAAGGCGAGGTGAAAAATCTCGAGGACGCGCGCGCGCATGTATTTCCCTCGCAAGCTCTTTAAAACAACAACAACAACCAACAGGCGCCTCCCACGCAGCCTAGCTAGGGGCGTAGCTAAGCAACCTCGTCCCCAGAACTTTTCCCTTAGAAAATGACACTGGGGGGCTTAAGGCATTCCAGGAACCTATGACTAGTCATGGGCCCCTCCTGGGCATTCTTATTTCGTTGTCAGAGGTGAAATTCTTGGATTTACGAAGGACGAACTATTGCGAAAGCATTTGTCGAGAACGCTTTCATTAATCAAGAACTAAGGTTAGAGGATCGAAGACGATCACATACCACTTTAGTTCCAATCATAATCGATGCCAACTTCTCCCGTTTTCGCATGAGGTAAAAACCCGGGGGACGTGAATTAATTTTCCAGATTTTTTTTCAAATCCGCCGCCCTACCCTGTCTTCTGAATCATTTTCCTGAATCGTGTTTTTTTTTTCTCTCCCGGTTAATTTGAATACATTTCCTTTTTATTCAGCATGATGACGTAATCATCTCTCTTGGTCACAGAACAGTTTTCTGTGTTGAAACGAGAGCAGTCCATACTGATGACCCGTCACCTCCCAGATCTAGGTAGTGCTTCTGATTGGCTGAAAAAAAAAAAAAAAAACAATCAGAAGCACTACCCAGATCTGGGTTGTGACGCATCATCAGTATGGAATTTTTGCGCTCGTTTCTCAGACGTCATTTGGCGGGAAAACCAGAGGTGGCGTAGCGAAAGGTCGGCTGTTTTCTCGTCAGGCTAACTCCCTCACCCGGGTACTCTCTTATACAAGCTATATAGGTATGTACCGCCCCATTGGGTAGGGGTTTTTGGGCTGTTTTGGTCTGGAAACGGGTATACACTTTGCCCATTATGATCTAGAATCGGTTATGGTTTTCGAGGGAACTACGGGAGTTTATGAACGTATTTATCGTTTCAGTTTCAAAGAAAGAAAGGGAAATATGCAAATTCGAAATGGATTTGAAGAATTGTTTTGTTTTCGCTCTAATCTAAGTAATGATGACATAATTTCTGCCTGAGTAAAGGCCAGGTCTGAAAACGGGGATGGATTTTAGAGGCCTGGGCTGAAAACGGGTATGGAAAATTACATTTTTTTGGTCTGAAATAGGGTCAGGATTTGGAGAACCGGGCGGCACACCCCCAACAAGAATTCGCAGAGGTGCCCCCCATCCCGGGCTCGCACATCGTCGCACCACCACAGTTTCTGTACGAACTAATCCTTCTACTTTGCACCTTTAATTTAATAGGCATTCGTTAGCATTTTCCAAATTACCTTTCATCGCCTTTCTTGCCCAAAATTTTCAACGATTAAGCGTTAGACGTCAAATTCCAGCGGGGAAAAAATGGGATTGGACCTCGTCCTTCATTATTTTTGATAGGCCGGTAAACGTCTAATGAAGATAATTTAACCGGTTTAAAAAAACTAAATAACACAACAGTGAACTGGGACTTGTCTTTTATAAATCAAGTGAAAATCCTAAAACTGCAGTGGGGGAACTGAGTCACTATCTGCTACTAAGGGACTGTATATAGCTACGGAGTTCTACGGAGCCATGTATAGACATGTGGACAAGATGAGTGTCCGGACTGCGTTTGGCCAATTAAATAGACCCTGTACAGTGTTTTCAACTTCTTTTGACTGGGACCAGTTCACACGGGCTAAAAATACGCGGCACATCCAGATTGTGGGTCCGTTAACCACCCAAATTAACAAAAACTGCGCTCTAAAATTAAACAGATAGCGACTGTTCTCTTCTTATGTGAGCAAACATCTGCCGCAGATAAACGTTTTCCTGTTTTTGTTTTGGATAATTATAGAACTGAAGACTCCATAGTATTTGCTCGCGTGTTTCCCTGCATAAATGCTAGCAGAGGTCCCTATTCGGGGTATTCGGCGTAAATAGGCCTCTGCCAGAACAGGGAACGTCAAGTGTTTAGCACAACTATTTTTAGTATTCGATACCACGTTTGACAGATTGAATGAGCTACACTTTTCAAGTTAGTTATGGTGTGGGCATGAAAAAAAAAAAAAAAAAAATAGGTTTTTAGGTCCCAGACTTATAGTGAAAAACAAAGCTGTAGCACCTTTATTTTTGCCAATGTAAGTGAATGGCTTGCTTGTGATATTTTCATTTTCAAAAGAAACCGAAAACATCGGCAAAAAAAACATAAAATAAAAGCATGTTTTCTTTAATATTTTTGCAGTCAGTGATTCATCTTGGTGAAGTACATAACGCCGGATTAACATGACTCTGTTTGCAAACGTATACATTACATTCTTTTTCTTTAAATTACCGGTTACTTACGTTCGGCGGAAAACATTCTCTAGTGGCGTGTAAAATATTTTTAAAATGAATGCCTGATGAATAATCTTCCAACTTTGTTACCTACTCCCCCTTTTCGGTACCGTAATCTAAAAATACCGCTTAGGTTTTTTTTGCCGTCATTAATGTGAATATTTTTAGCGATTGCCACAAGCTAAATTTCGCAGACTGGAAATCATTGTGTTTGGCCTTTTACCGACCAAATATGGTTGGAGCCGTAACTTCTTATTCTTAACGGCTGCAATTCCTATTATTAACAACGACAGTGGATAAAATCGCATTTAAATTTAGGCCCAAAACTACTGACTCCAAACCAAATACATGTACACTTTTTTTTCAATTAGCATTTGCAACATGTGAAAATTTGAAATTTATTTGCCATTGCATTATATTCTAGCCCTTTCCAGGAGGTCGGAGACTGGGGTGGTGGAGATCGCCTGGAAAATTGAGCAGGAAAAAACAACACCTGCCGCCTGCAAAAATAAATGAATAAAAAATAGCGGTTTGGTTGACCTGTGCTAGAATCTAGCCATACGCTGCGCGGACGCTAGTTGTCTTTCTGACGTAATCGCTAAAATTATTCGCCAATAACAAACGCCATCACGTGCTAAACAAAAATAGACAGGTCTTTTGCCATTCAACTGTTCAAAACAAAGGCACATGAGTCAGCTGCGCTTTATTCAGTTTTCTCAAAACAGTGTAGATGAAAAGAAAGTATATAACAGGCGTTGAAGTTGTGAAGTAATCCATTTGAGTTTTTTGCATTTATGCTTACTACCTTCCAAGAGAAAAATCATTGATGTCGACTGTTTTGGACCGTCCTCTAACAATGGCCGGCTGGAATGAGGAAACAGGCAGAGATTACAGTATTGTTTACGGTTTTATGTCGTCGCTTTTGAGCGAGGAGTCGTCAGGTGGGAGATTCGAAAAATGTCTTCATGGAAAGCTTTGCTCGAGCTGCAAGTGCCACGCGCAAGTAGAGAAAAGTCGTTTCGTGCCCGAAGCCACTGAGGGTGCGAAGGCGGGCGAATGTTCACACTCGCAGAACTTGGTCGTGTTTGACTTCGATGCTGTTCACCGTGAACGCGCGTTAAACGCGAAACACTTGAATAAAGGCAGGAGGTGGCGCAAGAAACATTATGGGAAGATAAAGATGAAAGAATGATACAAGAAACGCTCCAAACGAAATCCAGACGCCATGGACGGATTATACGCTCTCTTGGTATTTAGGTATACATGGACTTGACCGACTAGTTATAACTTAAACAGGGTGTTTGGTGATAAATCTAACACTTCTAGATAATATGAAATAATTTCTGTTCAGTTTTTGAAAGTGTAAAATCCTTATATCGCTATAAACTGTTCGAAGTCAAGAAAGCTTTAACGAGAAGATAATTAACTGCCACGGTTTTTGAACCGTTCTGTTTAAAATTAAACACAGCGAGGTAAGAAATACTCATAATAATTCCAGATATTGTAATTAAATCTAAAATATATTTCATTGAAAAATTTCTTATCATTATGAATTTGTAGAAAAATAATCGTAAAATGTAAAAATATGGGAATTAAATCAACAAAACATATGTATAGTTAGTCTTCGTATTTTTAGGGCGTACAGCAATATACAAGTCCAAAGATTATTAATATCGATTGCATCATTCTTTACTACAGGTTTACATGAATTTTCCTTGTTTAAAATTCAAAAGCGCCATTACAATTTAGGTTTGCACAACTGCATCGTAGAAATTTATTGACGCGCAGTTTTGCGGTACAAATAAAGGGTCATGTGCGCCGGCAATTTATTGTTCCATGACCTATTTTTTGTATGTTACGACTTGCCCACCCAAAATTGATTCCTCGCTGGGATTGTTTACCGGTTTTGAAGAAAACTATCATTTGCTATGATATTCCTGAGTAGTGGCACCTGTCAGGAAAAGCAGTCATCCATGAATCAATCTAGCCCTACAATCCGGGTGACTTACGGCGATGCATGAGCCTTTGGTGTCTTCGCAAAATTCGCGGCGTCTGAAATTTCACAAATATCAGTTAAATTGCGTAACTATTTTTAAATAAAAGAGCAACTCCTTTTAAAAATAAATTGATTTGTCTCATTTGTTTTCCCGTGGTTGTTAAAAGTTATTTTCAAACTCCAGGATCCGTGTGCGGTTAAATGATTACAGAAAATAGGTCGTACATTTTCCCAACCAAACGCTTTTTTTCGTAAATTTTGAACATAAGTCACTTAATTTTCGCTATTTCACGAACTGAAATTTCACTGAAACTGAAATTGTAATCAAAACTGATAAAATCATAAGTAAACCATCAAATAGCATGTGTGCGTGAAACTGCTCAAGTAGATTAAGGCCTGCCGGTTCTAAGTCATTTGTGATTGTTATGCAAAGTTTCCAAAAACCATTGTTAAAGACATCCTCCACAAGATGGTAAGGTAAACTAACCTTAAAAACTTCTGAAAACTTGAAAAGAGAAATCCAGATTACCAGGTCACGTGATCGATTACGCCCTCGTCTGTTCGAAAGTTGCAACCAACGATACCCACCACTTGCTAAACGTGCAGCTCCAGTTTCTCTTAATCAAAACTTTGACCCTACAAATTGTCTACGAAATCAGCTTGGAGTGGTTGGAATCTTTACAAATTGTAGGTGCAATTGAACCACACAAAGGACTGCATAGGACCGCAAACGAATATGCCGAAGAACGTAGGATCTATAACGACCTGATCAGCAAAAATAATAATGTAGTCATATTAAACTCTGCAAGCAGAATACTGCAATGCTGATCGTACCACCAGAAAATTAACTCTGCAACACATCAACACGACACCGAAAGAACTCATGAGAGCGGGATTGTAGCCATAGACAGCTGTTTCGCCCTTTTTGGGGCTCGTCAGTATGGCGCAACAACTAGAGAAAGCTGTGATGAAAAATATCCGCGCACTCTGATTTCAAGCCCTGACCCAGAACTCTCAACACCTACAGAATCACACCATACCACGTGTCTTCTGGGGGGCAAGAGTCCAAGTGTCAAGTTGATATCTCGCAGAGAAAATAAAGAATTGGCCAAAACCAACCTCAAAAACATGGACAGAACCATGCAAGAACTGACTAGTGCCAGTTCTCCTAAAATTTTCGTTAGGAGAAAGACGTTAAAGGCCTTCGTCTAATTCCACCCGTTTTTACAAGAAGAGTATCAGTGGCCACTGTTTGGAGCTACAAAAGGATAACTGTTTGCTTTCTACATAGTGGCAGGTAAT